TGTGAGTTCGAGGCCAGCCTGGGCTACCAAGTGAGTCCCAGGAAAGGCGCAAAGCTACACAGAGAAACCCTGTCTCGAAAAACCAAAAAAAAAAACAAAAAACAAACATACTCTCACCAGCTCCTGACACACAGGGCAGCTGGGTCAGAGGCTGCCTCCAGCATTACAGAGTCCTCCTAAATTCTGCATACTGTTGCAAGTGAGTAACAGCAGTTCTCTGGTCGGCAGCATCCCTGAAGACTCTGCTGACAAACAGGTCCTTCCCTTTTCTTCATGGACTTTCCTGCTGGGCGGAATGTATTCCTCAAGCCAACACTAAGACTACAAAACATAGAGCCAAAGACTGAGTCCCTTCCCTTCCTTCCTGACTGGCCCTGTATTACATGCTCTGCTGTTCTCTCATCTTGCCTGATGGATCTGCAGACGTCAGCCGTACCTCACTCACGGGCATTGTGTAGCCACCCCTCCTGCAGCCCTATTCTATCCCATAATGATCAGTGTTCCCACTCTGGGTCATTCCTGCCTGTGTATAAGACAGTCTTCATGGATCCTTTTCTGGTACACTGTGGTGGATAACATCCCGTAGAATCAGCAAGGTAAGGGCCTAACACTCTGGGAACTTTTAAGAAATCTGACAGATTAGCCGGGTGGCAGTGGTGGCACACGCCTTTAATCCCAGCACTCGGGAGGCAGAGCCAGGCAGATCTCTGTGAGTTCAAGGCCAGCCTGGTCTACAGAGCGAGATCCAGGAGAGGCGCCAAAACTACACAGAGAAACCCTGTCTCAAAAAACAAACAAACAAACAAAAAGAGAAATCTGACAGATTAAGAAAATCTTCCACAGTTCCAAAATGGTGCCCAAATCCTTACAGCTCAGACTAAAGGTTGATGTCTCCATCATAGGTTTCCTGGTACAAGTGGCCGGGGTTCAAGGCTCTGGCCAGGTGGCTCTGACAGTCCAGGGGAGGCAGGAATGCCAGCCCTCCCTTTCTTCCCACACACTGCCTCCCTGTTGAGCAGCCTCCTGTTTCATGAACTCACTGCCTTGACAGCATGGCTCAGCTCCTCACCCTTCCTGCATGGAAGACACCATGGTTCCACACACGGGCCCATTCCCACCTGCCCTCCCAGCTGAAGGAGCAGCATACTCTTCTGTAACTGAGCTCTGAAGCCAGGGTCTCTCAAGGGAAGCCAGCAACCAAATCTTTTTTCCTCCCTCCCTCCCTCCTCTCCTCCCTCCCTCCCTCCCTGGCTCCCTTCCTTCCCTTCTTCAGCTTCTACATGCCTGAAAAGAACATGTCAGCCAGTCACATGTAATGGCTTTTATTATTCAGAAATATTTCTGACTCTGACATTTAAGTTGTTGTGCTAGTTGGTTAGTTTTTGGTTGTATGTTTTTGCTTTGTTTTGTTTTTTTCTTGAGACAGGGTTTAGCCCTGCTGTCCTGGAACGCGCTCTGTAGACTGCTAGTTTTAATTGTCAATTGAACATAACCTAGACTCACCGGAGAAGAGCAGCTCAATGAGGAGCTATCTGGATTAGCTTGGCCTGTTGGCTAGCTTATGAGCAATTGTCTTAACGGGGTTAACCGAAGTGGAAAAGCCCACCCTGAATGTGGTGGTATCATTTCAAGGGCTGGGTCCCGGAGTGCATAAGGTTAGCGAGGTAGCCTGTTGACCTGACCAACTGGGACAGAGGGACCCTCCCCAGCTCCTCTGTAAGAGAACTCTCACATGGCTTGGCTAGCGCTCACCAATGAGAAGAAGAATGGGGATCAAAGGCCAGGAGAGACATCAGGAAAGAGAGTGGTGTCTTGTATGAATCCATTCTCCTTTCACTGTCTGGCACCAAGTGATATGAGCCAACCCAGCAACACTGCTCTTCCAGAGCAAGGATGCTGCTGATATTGTAAAGGTTCTCTGGATTGTAATCTGAGTTATCTGGGGCCAGGAAATACCTCGCTGAGCCAATCTACAAAGCAGTGCACTTGTTGGTGGAAATCACCATTTAAATGCTCTGATCTATTCGCACTGACTGCAAACGAGCTTCTCTTGTGTGACCGTGTTACCTATCACATGACACTGGACGCTCCTCCCAGGCTTGGAAACTCACTGGGCCAAGCAATGTGCTACAAGCCATTGGTGCGCTGGCCTTAGAGGGTATGTGCACAGATGCACATTCCCATATACTCACACACATAGGCACACATGTATGCACACACATAAACACACACTCTCACATGCTCACATGCTATGGGGTGCGTGTGTTCTTCGCCTGCACTTGTTTTGAAAAGCTGCAGAGCTTAATCACCAGGCACAGGAAGACATGGCACAGAGTTGCTGGGAAATGATCCATGGGACTGTTCCACGTACATTTCTCAAGAACTTTCCACGTTCTGACTCTGCAACCGTTCCCATCAGTTCAGACAGATATTGTTCAAAGAAGTATAGGCAAAAGAGAAGCAAACCAAGGTCCCCAGGAAGTTCTGATGAATTTGGAAAAGGAGGGGATGTATATGTAGGTAGGTATGGACAAGTCACAGTATGGAACATCTGGACATGCGTAAGGTGCCAAATTTGACCCCACGGCAATCACCCCAATTAATCACTTACAAATGTCCTTTCTTTTTGGTCCACAAAGATCCGATTAAAGATTGCCTAAGAATTACTTCAAATTAAAGAAAGGAACAGGCTGGAATTCAAATTCTGTATAACTGTAGAGTACATGAAACCAACCATTTCTGAAGCTGTACCCTATTTGTTGGCTACTCCATACAGAGTGCAAACACCTAGGCACCAGGCTCTGTCATTCTCTCTTCTGAGAGTTAGGGTCTATGCTAGGAAGGAGATCCCCCCCCAACCCCCTCACCCCTCCCAGGCCAAGTCAGCTCATCTCAGCTCCTCAGTCTAGCGCTTTAGAGCGAAGGGACACTGCTGCTTGAAGATAGAGGTGACGGTGTAATGGTGCCAGTACCAGTCTCCAGCATGGTGCTCCATGCCAGGCACCCTTAAAACACTGAAGGTTAAACATGCACTCTCCACAACAGCCCCCAACAACTGGACTGTGAGTCTCCTCATAGCACAGAGGAGGAAAGGGTGGTGTGGGGCAGTGAAGTAAGTTGTGATGGACTGCAGATCGGATTCAGATGTCTCACAGTTGTGCTCCTTGATGCCGAGTGACATGGCTTGTCACAACACCACAGCCTTTGGGCTTTGTGGGGCTGGACTGACTCCTTCTCCACAAAGGCACAATGAAATCATTCCTTCAACATAGTATAACATAGTTCATGCCTCACTTCCTTACAAACAAGTGAAGCTTTCCTAAATCCAACAAACAAAAGATGGTGCAGCAGTAAGAAGGTCCCAGAACTTTCCATAAAAGGTAAAAAGGAAGCTACAGACCAGCCACAAATAGAAAGCTGTCTTCGTGCTAGAGATCTCAGAGTAAAATCGGGGTCAAACTCTTTCTGATGATTATCAGACACTCCCCCAGTGCTCAGATAATGAGCTACATTTTCCTGAGGCAGCAGGACATGCTATTCAAAAACAGAAAACCAGGGTTTACAGTGATAACCAGCCTACAAATTCCCAATTCTCTCCTCTCTTTTTCTCAGAATTATTTTCATAAGGTTTTGGTTTCACCCATTTATTTTCCCATATGTATACAGACGTCCTAATCAGATTTTAATGTTCTCAGGTGGTAACCTACTTAGCTACCAGAACAGTTCAGCATAGCTCAGCAACACAAGGCTAAATGGAAGCAGGTCCTTCTCTGGGGTCATTCAAGAGCAGCCTTGGCAAAGGAGATCCAGCAACTTACCTTGGGCTTAAACGCGATGACTTTCAAAACCATCTCAACAGTGAATACCCCCGTGAAGACCATGTTCAGAATGTCCATGGCATCATTGAACATCTTGGACTGCTCGTAGTGCTTCGGATAAAGGCAGACGTATTACCGTCAAATGTTCATGATCTCACATCCTTATAATGGGAGGTCCCCTGCCATCTGCACCCTGGGGGCATTTCCCACCCTCCAGTACAGCATCCTCTCCCAAGAGCCAGACTTGAATAATTCGGCAGAATCCTTTGGCTTGAGATAGGTGTGGAAGATTTCCCACATTACTCATAAAGAAAGTATGGCTTGGGGTCAGATTCTCAAGACCACCAGCTGCTAAGGACAGAAGCCAAGGCCTGTGCGGCATCAGGCTTTGGTACTCAGCCACTCTTGGGTCCCAGGATCCAGACTGAATACCACACCCAGGCTCCGTGGAAGCACCCCCCACAGCTCTATCGCCCAGAGAGATCCAAACATAAGTGACCTTATGTGTCTACCATGACAACAGTCAGGCAGAATGAAACTGTGACCACACTACAATCCAGGTTTGTCAGAAAGTCAAACCTCCTCTCTTGGAGATGGAGCATATCACCCCCAGGATCCGGGGGAGAAGGCTGTGTGGCACACCTACACTTAGTCACCATAGTGATCTCCATATTTACCTGCATGGCCAGGCAGAGTGTGTTGAGCATGATGAGGACGAACATCATGTATTCAAAAGGCGAGGAGTTCACCACGTACCAGAACTTGTACTGGTAGGGGTTCTTGGGGATGTACCTCCTTAAGGGGCGAGCTTTCAAGGCATATTCAACACACTGGCGCTGCAATGGCAGAAAAGGACAAACAGGGGGTTGAGAGTTTCCAGGAAAGGAGCACAGAGTGGTCATCTGCCTGGAGGAGCTCACTTTGGCCCTCAAGGAAATGACCGTGAACAGTTGAGTCTCTGGTAGGACCAAGAATTTGCCTTGTGTGTTGGAGCCCACTAGGGTTCCTAGTGGCTGTGCCCAGCAGGACTGCATAAGAGGTCGATTGGACCACAGGCCTGGGTACCAGGTGACTATAACTAGCGAGGGGGAGGTCTTTTGCTCCACCCCTTGGCATTGTTACAAACAGACCTTTGGAATAAAGTTCTGGGCCCGTTTGAATAAGGTTCCAGGCCCACCCGAGTCTATCCTGTGTTTTCTCTCTGCTTCTTAACTCTCTGAGTCTCTTATCCCTCATTCCTCAAGAGTTCCTGGGGGTAACTTCCAGAAGCAAGTAGAACAGCCACTGTGCTGGCTCAGACTTGAAGGCAGAGCCCATGTAGCTTCCGCTGAGACTATTGCAGTGTCTCTGAGGCAGGGGGTGGGGTGGGGTGGGGGGCTTGAACCAAGCCTTGTCAGGGCCTTTCTCTGCCAGTAGGTGGTGATGCCAGGTCTGCCTGTGTTGTCCTCCAGAAGAGGAGGCCAGCTGAGGACAGGCATGGAATCTTCAAGAAGCACAGAGGCCGAGTTTACTTCCTGAGGCTGGAAGCTCTCTGGACACTCAGGCAGATTCATAGAAGATGCCTGTCCAGTCTTACGGGAGCAGGAACTTACCATGCTCTCCTCAGCATCTCCAGAGAATGGTTAGTGATGATGGTGAGACTGAACTAAGTTTGGCTCTAAACAGACCACTGTCCTTCTACTTACTCTGGGACAGACACCAGTTCCTTTTCGGAGTAAGCTGAGAGGGAGCCTCCAGTTGGCCTCCAGGCTTGCTCCTGCCTCCATCCCTCCCTCCATGCCTTCCTCCACCCCTCTCTCTCCTTCCCTCCCTTCCCCTCCTCTCTGCCTTCACTCCAGACACAGCAGGCTTCAGACAAGTTCTCTGTGTAGTGTCACTCTGACTCTAGGGACACCAGATTCGAGCCTATTTGGGACTTTAGGTTACACATGTAACACCAACTCTGCATGGTTTACCTAGCCCGGTCTTCACTCTTGTCTTCTATGGGTAGGCAAAGAAATAAGCCAGATTTCCTCCAGATTATCACTGGTAGAGTCTACAAGGACACTCTGACACAGGAAAGTTCTTCCACAAACCAAGTCAGCATGCCCTCACATGTGGTCACAGTTGCCACCTGGGCAGGAGTACCTCATAATACCCTCACTACCAGATCATTCTTGCTCACCTTATTACCATAAAAGCAGAGATGTGTCTGGCAGAAGACAGAGGAAAACGCTCAGAACAGACTTTCGAACTCATATGCTAAAGGTTCAAAAGGATGTCTCAGGGGTATAAACTCCTTCATGCCTTCATAAACGACCTTTAAATGAGATAAGGGGCCAAGACTCCAGGAGCAGTGATGCACTTAATGTCACTGAGCAGATACAGGCAGAGCAGGGCCAGAGCACATGCAGGCTCTTGGTTTCCTTGCTTTATCACACAGTGAGAGCCAAGGCTCCTACTTCTACCAGGTCGGCTAAAACAGGGAGGGAGATGAACAATGCCCGAAAAACTTTAGTGCCAAGTTCAAAGTTTCTGACTCTTCCTACTAAATGACAGCTCATTTTGATTGAGGGCAACTGCTGTCCCCGGAAGACCTCTGGCAATCTCTGGGAATGTTTTGGCTCCCTACTGGAGGAAGGGGGTGCCAGTGCATTGAGTGGGTAGAGGCCAGGGATTCTGCTCCTTGCCCCACAGTTGTGCCCAGGGAGCACAAACAAGAAGGATCAGCCTACAGCATCAATAGCACCAAGATGAAGAAAGTCTGCAGCAAGCAGGTATCAAAGAGCCTCTCCGTGGAGGCTGTGCGAGTTTGAGTGAGTGAGTGATTCCTGGCTCTGGGTCACAGTGCCATACAGGAGTCTGAACCATCATTGGTCAGCCATGACCATGGGTTGTGACCTTGGTGTTCTCTGACCCCTCACCACAAGCTTGGGGATTGGTTTCCCCAGTCATCGTCTATTCTGGGTCTGGTGACCACCTCTGCAGAGACTCAGCATGGCTGATGGTGTGCTCTGAACAGGGCCTGAGCTGGGGTGAACCCTCTCCTCTGTGTAGAGAAAGCCACTGACGAGGAGGTGCTCTGCTCTTGCTTGAGGGACAGAAGCACAAAGAGTGTGTGACTTTAACCTGATTTTTGTCGAGCTCACAGTTCTTATACTCTTTTTCTCCTTGTTCCTGGAAGGTGACGATGACGAAGCCCACAAAGATGTTCATCATGAAGAAGGCAACAATGATGATATAGATGATGAAGAAGATGGAGATCTCCACACGGTAGTTGTAGACTGGACCAACATTCTCTCCGTTCGAGTCAATGGCTTTATACAGCAACCTGGAAAATAGGAAAACTGGGTGGGAACCTGCCAACCCCACAGTTCAAGCAGCCCGCCCAGCCCACTGCCCCACCAGATGCTCCCAGAATTCCTCTGCACAGTCATGGGACGGGCCTTGTCACTGAGGCATCTTCATCCTTAGGCCCAGATAGCTAGTATATAGATGAGGGATTACCCAGATAATCATCCAGAGAATATCTGGAGAACTGAAAAAATCAAAAGGGTTTCACAAACAGTCAACAATGCCACCTTCTAGTAACAGATAAGAGATAAGGAGCATCACACTGACATATTGAAGGAGCTGAAAACTGTGCATACATTGACGGACACCCAGTACCCAAACAAGATTTCTAAAGTTAAGGGACACTCTAGTGTCAGATAGAACTCTTGCGAAGAAGGACATTACCATAAACCACCCAGTTTCAACTAACCCCCTCTAATACAGTCAGTCCTTCCTGACCTCACCCCATGTGCAAAAGCTCACACGGCCTCTCTTTCCATCTTTCCTTCTCCCTAGAAGGGCAGGTGTCACTGCCATCCCCTTCTTGTCGATGGTCAGAAAGGCATCTAAGTGCCAAGGTCACAGTCCTCAGGGGCAGAGTCCAGAGCTGGGCTCAGGTCCTTGTAGCTTCAAGCCCCAGGCTGAATCACATCCCGTCAGCTGCCCCAGTGGCTCACTGAGGCACGGTGTCCCAAACCTTACATCACCACAGGGTCTCGCTCTTCCTCCACACCTTTTCTCCTAGATCAGCTTCCTAGGAGGCGAACGTTACTCAGCTGTCTACAGAAACTTCTGAAAATGCCCTTCACAGCTACCCGAGAGCCCTGGCAACCAGCTGGAGCCAGTTTGGGCACTTGCCTCCTGAAGCTCCTCTGGGCATGACCCATCTGAAGGAAGCCAACAGGGTGCTACAGACGCCCCTTTGCCTTTTATTTTTGTCCTTCTTTATGTTCTGGTGCTCCAACTCACCCCAGATCCCAGCCATTCAGCCAGACCCCATTCCATACTAGGTATGATTATGTGACATTTCTATTAGCTCTAGGATCTGAGGGAGGACCGGTGCCATGGTCATGTGACTTCCTCCACGCCGCCTAACACAGCATGTTGCATGGAGTTGATATCAAAGGCATAATTTATGAATGAGTGTTTGAGCACCTTCATGAAAGGAACAGCATGGTAGCATCTGTCCATGCCTGGCACACATCAGTGCTCATTATGTACCATAATGAGTGAATGAATGACAGTTTGGATGCTGTCAAATTCTCTTTAAGAACACCAGAAGGGCATCTACCAACAGCAGTCTACACAGCAAATGCCTCTTAGGTCCTCCTTAACCACACAGAGAGATGCTGCCCTGGCCATTCACATCTGAAGCCAAAAGTAAGATGCAGATGTTTAACACCTGCCTGTTCAGATGGAGGAGCCACGGTGGGCAAGAAATCATGCCCAAAGTTAGTCACAGGCAAGCTTGCCAGCTGTGAAGATCAAAAGTAGAACCCCTCTCCTGGAAGGACGACAGCCCAGAGTCCCCAAGGATCAAGTAGGTACCTCCTGGGGAGACTGGATATCCTTTATACTCACGCAGGCCAGCCCTCAAAAGTTGAGACTGTGAAGAGTGCCATCATGGCTGAAAGGACATTATCAAAATTGAAATCACTGTTCTGCCAGATCCTCTCACGGACCACAGGACTGTCGACATCCCCATCCTTATAAAGAATGAAAAGCCCCCTGGAGGAGAAAGGAGTTAGAGTCATCTTGGCTTCGCAGAGGACAATATTGGTTCAGAACATCATATGTAGCCCCAGCCAGGTTACACACACACACACACACACACACACACACACCACAGCCCAGATGGAGTTTCTCTCTTTCTCCTCCACATTTGATCTGCTCTATACTTCAAGGAAGTCTCCAGTCATGACCCGAGAGCCCTGGCAACCAGCAGGAGCCAGAGTGCAAAGTGCACTCTCCAGGGCAGGAGTGGCTAGAGATCCAGTGTGCACCTGTTAGCAGTTAGACATGCCCAAACAGTAAATGTTAGAATTCCTAGCCACTCTCCCATGACCACGACCGCACACTGGCTGGCAAAATGCATAGTCATCTCAGGGCCTTACGTCCTACGTAATCCGTGTGCTGAGTGATCACGTAGTTTTGTGCAGTGTAACATGTAATCTATGCACATGCGTGGCATAGCCATGTGAGCCCATATGTGCATGTGTGGGGGGAGGGGGGAAATCTATAAAAGCGGGTTCCACATATCCCTCTTCCTCTTCCTGCATGATTTTTCCATAGGCCTAAGCACATCCCTTCTGTTCCCTTCCCTTAACAAACTCTTACAGTGGGTTTTGTTGTACCTTGTAGCTTTTGGCTTTTCTCAAAGGGTAAACAGCGTCACTTAATGAATAACACTGTGCCACTTAATAAAGGACAGTAAAAGTTCCTCATGTAAGAGGGGCTACAAATACATGTGGAAAAATCGATATTTTGGCCACAGAATTCCACAGACTCTGAGAAGCAAGCAAAGGTATATGCTTATCCACATTCTAATTTCAACAAATCTCTTCCTTTTCAGACCACTGGTATTCTCAATTTTCTTTCCAAAAGACTTCTGTAATTGCTGTCACACACCATTTCTTACAGAAATGTACTTGTGGAAGGAACCCATGAGATAAAGCCTCTCACTGATATTTCACAGCAACGGGCAGCTAGAGGAAGGGCCCACCACGACACACTCTTGTGGCTGCACTAAACAGCCTGGAGGAGGTGCTCTGCATTCCTCAGCCCAGGCCAAGCGCATCCCGCATGTAGTCATAGGCAGATTGTATCCAATGCCCCATGGCCACATCATTTGTTCAAGAAAACCCAAACCAATGCATACAGGGCAGGCAGCTAGACCCCAGCCAAATGTAACTCTAAAAGGTCAGGGACACAGATTTTCTGTAGCCTTAAGCTCTGGGCAATGCATGCATGGACTGCGAACATTCCATATTAACTGAACATCTTGGATTATAAGATGTGAGTGTTTCTTGCTGTTTCTCTGCTGCTGGCTGTTCTGAACAGAAATATGTCCAAAATGTGGGCACTAGGAACAAGGAGCACAGAAGTCTGCCAAGTTTTCTAGAAGAGGGTAGCCCACTCCTGAACACTGGGAACTGAGCTGTAAGCCTGGCTTGGGAGAATACCCTTCAAAGCCCACTTGGATAGCAGGGGAGATACTGGCGGCCCTTGGTCACTGTTCTTTCGGGACTCCTCCCCCCAGTTTACATGAACTACACTAAATTGCTGGAGCCGGCCACTCGTTCCTTGGGGATGATGAACATGTGTTAAACCTTCGAGATGCTGGCTAGACAATAATGAATCGTGGTCTCACTTTACTTGAGTTTCACCTGGGCTTGAAAACATAAACAACAAAAGTCAGGTCACTCTCTTTCCAGGCGTGAGCTGAGTGGGCAGGCGTCTCACTCCCTGACGAAAGCCCCTGAACTGCTAACATGAGTCCATCTGTGAGCCGGCTCTCGGGGTACCCACCTGCATTCTTCAGGGTTACTTTTGGCTTCGTCTGTGCATCGATAGAACTTCCCCTGGACACAAAGCAGACGAGGGTCAAACACGGGCTCTTCTGATGGAAACCAGCTCCAGCCCTGGGCGAGAGGGTACCCCTACCTTGAACAACTGGACCCCAATGCATGCAAACATGAACTGGAGCAGGGTGGTGACGATCATGATGTTGCCGATGGTTCGGATGGCCACAAAGACACACTGGACAACGTGCTGGGGGAGAAGAGAGAGGATGGAATGCTGATACCCCACTTCGTGGTTCTAGTCACGGGATAAGTTAACACCAGGCCAGGGCTTCTATGCTGGGGTGCATTTTGATCTGAATTTCTAACTGTTCTAACCCCATGCTTTGTTTTCCTGGTTACCTAGTGCATAAGTACTGTGTTCATTATGACGTGCACTTTTATTTTTATTACATCTTTATTACATTTATTTATTGTGTGTGTATGCATGCGTGTGTGCATGTGTGTGTGTGTGTGTAAGCCAGAGGACAACATGCAGGAGCTGGTTCTCTCCTTGCACATGGATCCCAGAGATTCAACTGGGTCATCAGGCTAAGTGCCTTAACCCATTTTTGAGCCGTTCCCTGGTCCAAGAACACTTTAAAAAAAAAAAAAAAAAAGATTTATTTATTTATTATGTATACAGTATCTGTCTGCATGTATGTCTTCAGGCCAAAAGAGGGCGCCAGATCTCATTACAGATACTTGTGAGCCACCATGTGGTTGCTGGAAGAGCCATCTCTCCAGCCCCAGCCCAAAAACACTTTTTCAGTGTCTTTTCTTGGGCTTCCTCTAAAGAGTTTGGTTTAATTGAGAGAAACACCACCTGCACATAGGTTCAACAAGACCCCTATCCTAGAAAGCTCTTATAGAGACGACAACCCTTTGGCCTGCTGTATAATCCATATGAGAATGATTTACAACTTAAACACAAAGAAATACTGTTGATAAAGAAGAAACAAATCGTTATTGTAATTATAATGACCAACATCCCCAATTAACAAAGCAAAGGTAATTTTGCTGTGTCTGTGTGTTATGTGTTATACATGTTATGTGGATACAGGCCCCCACGTACATGCCTGTTCATGTGAGACAAGTAGAAAAGAACACTGCATGTCCTGCTCGATCAGCCTCTACTTTATATTCTCGAGATGGGGGTCTCTCACGGAACTCAGAGCAAGGACGGCCACCAGGAAGCCCCTTGTGTCTCAGCCACTGCACACATAGTACTGGGGTCACAAGAGTGTGAGGGACCTGCGGGGCTTTTTAAATAGGTCTGGGATTCGAACTCAGGCCCCAACACTGCTGAGCCATCTTTCCTTTTTGGAATGACAATGCTAGGCAGAAGTAGCTTCTTTGGTGGAAAGGTCCCACTCGGAGCCTCAGCTCGTCTCTAGACCAGGACAGTTAGCAACTGCGGCCAGCCCCAACCCAAGCCAGCCCCCTCACAGGAGAGGGGTCAATACCTTAAGCCCTTTTGCTCTGTTGATTGCTCTGAGGGGCCTCAAGACCCTCAAGACCCTGAGAATCTTCACCACGGAGATGGCGCTGGATCTGGGGGAGGACAGTAACGGTAAGAAAGCAAGCGACGTGAGTTACGGCCAGATTGGAGCCTTGAGATCAGCTACTTCATGTGACCATCTCTTGAAGGACACTACATAACCGTAGTCTCCCTTCAGGACTTCAGCAGGACCTGCTCCTTTCTGCCACCAAGCTGGCCTCGTGCCCCCTGAGGGAACTCGGGGGCCCTGGCAGAGGCTCTACCTCAGGCATGTAGCTTGCCTTTATAGAGGCATTTACAGACTTACCTCATTCTGCTGACGTAAACACTAGTTTCCTGACATTGAGATGTCAGTGTTTAAGTTTGGGGACCTGTGCTAGGGCTTTTCTGGTCTCGGAGAGGGTTCGATCTGGTAGGAGGGATGGGTAACACCTCCCTCAGCGGCACACACTCGGGTGTGGGGAAAGGCGTGGGCTCCTCCACGGAAGGGAAGTGGGGCGCGGCCTCAGGGGCAGCTGGGAAGGCCTCTCGGGCAGGTGGCATCAGGTGGCAGGAGAGCCTCGTCAGTTTTATGGGAACAGGTGTGGGCCAGAACAGCCTAGGAGTTATCTCAAGGGCTTTGAGCTGTTGCAGGCTGCTCGGGTTAATCCGCTGGGTGTGGTTGCAACCCCGGCTTCGGAGAAAGTGTGCAAGAAGGCTTGGGAGGAAGTGAGCAAGAGGGAAAGCTGGAAAGAGCAGGGGCAGTTTGGGGGTTGGTGAGAATTGTGGAGAGACTAGATTGAAGGTTCTACTGAGAAACCAATGCAGCATTTCCTTCCCCAGGCAGCAAGAGACAGGGAAGGCAATTCTCGGCAGGAATCCCGGGTCCTTGTCGGGTCCAAAGCAGGCCCCTCAAATGACAGTACTGCTGATAGTGTTCTCACCGTCAGCCTGGGCTCACCCGGACTCTGACCAGCTAAGCAGGATTGCTACCCAGGGAACAAAAACCTAAATTTAGCATTCCTCAGAAGCGGCTTTCCATCTGTCAGGAAGACCCATTACTTCCCTTATCTGCCCCCATGGTCAACTCCCTCAGGCAGAGGGCATCTAGTTCCTGATTAACCCAAACAGCCTGCAACAGACCAAAGGCCCCATGCTAATTCTCAGGCTGTTCTGGCCCGCACGCCCCCTCCTGCTGCTACCCATAAAACTGGCAAGCTGTTCCTTCCAGCCACTGTTCTCTGCCCCCACCCCCAGGCCAGAGACAGCCCAGCCATTTGATGCTCAAACTGTCTTCCCGCAGAGGGGTCTAGTTCACTGGCTTCACTGTGGCCCACTTACAGTCCTCTCCAGGTACCTTTGGCTAAGGGGCTTATGATGTACATGTGCGCTCACACTGGGGTACTACCAGGCAGCTCCGGAGCAGAGATGCTCACAGGCCAGCAGGAGAGTGAAGCGAGGTCACAGAAGATGTAACCATGGCTGACTGTCCTAGGTACTGCACAGGGTAAAAAGGCAGCACTCAACCCCACCAGACACTCTTAAATGCCCCCAAAGGTCACAGCAGCTGTGTCCTGCAAACACAGGAAGTGGAATGGGTCCCGAGAGGTCGCCAAGGCCAAGCTTTTCCTGCAGTGAAAGAAAACTGCCACCCCGAGGGAGGATGCCCGGAGTCTTGGACCAGGCCTGAGAGCAATCCAGTTTGTTCTCCTCTAGTCAAGATGTCTTTCATCTGCTGTTGAAAGCCAGTTTCAAAGAGAATAATAAACTCAACCTAGCAGTAGATACAAGAAAAACAAACCAAGACAGAAATAGGAAAGCACGGGCCCTTCTGGCGCGGGGCAAGTTAAGCCATCCTGCCTGTAATCATCAGACGGCGCCCAGCTTGAATGACTTAGGCTCAAGTTCCCTGCGTATAATTCTTTCTACTGACCCGTGAATACTTACTGAATCCCAAACGACACCAGAGACACTCCAACAACCAGCATGTCCAGCAAGTTGAAGTAGTTCCTGCAGAAAGCCCCTTTATGTAGGAAAGCCCCAAACGTCGTCATCTGTAAACAGAATCATGCGTCCTTTACTGTTTTCCTCCTCCCCTCCTGGGTCCCAAACCAACCAAACAGAAAGCCTGGGCTCTTCACAAAATCTTGACAGTCAAGTACGACTTTATTAATGACTGCCCGTAAGGAAGACAAATGCTAAGCAGCAGGGCTGAGTGAGCATGTAACCTACTTCAGAACAAATCAGAAGAAACGCGAAGGGTAGCTGACTGAAGGCAAACTTTTGAAGAGGTCAGTCTAGGGTCTATTCAGATGACAGAATTCAAACAAGGACAGAGCTCTGGCATGTCCAAAGAGCCTGCCTCAGGAGAGACTGCACAGGACCATGCTTGGGAGAAAGCTATCACTGCCTAGCTGAGCTTACCTGTGCAGTGCTGGCCTGGGTCAGCAGCTCTAAGGTCACGGAGCACAAACAATTTTCATAAAACCCTCTCAGTGGAAGCTAGAGGCGGCACCTGGCTCCCGCACTCCTAGGGTCCTTTCCCCCTTAACTTGGTTGACCCAGCTTCCAATTCCCATCTCTCCTGAGTCAAGTTACTCGACAATATCAGGTGTAACAAGCAAAGAGGTTTTGTTACAGGAAGCCAGGCTCGTTCTCACGTTAAACGGCTTGTACAGCAGGAGTGAGCGTAGTGGGTGCTCTCGTGAGGTTTCTGCTGGCCACGGGAAGAGTTCAATGGGCAAGTTCTCCAGATGGGAAAAATACAGTGTTAAATAACCCAGGATTTCATTGGCCCCAGAGCCCAGGAGTATGTACACTCACTTCACAGTTCAAAAAGGCAGAGAGTAAAGCAAAATCTCAAGTCACCAGGCTAATAGATCTGGTGGAACAATGCTCCTTAATTCAGCTTGAGGGAGAGGCAGCAAGGAGAACCTGGGGTAGGGACCCTGCATGCTGTGTGGCACAGACCTTACCACAGGGCCATAAGCCTTGGCCACTGATCTGCTCCGCCATGATGGACAGAGGACTAAAACTGAACCTCCTGGTTTACATCCAGGAAAGAAAACTCAAACTCTTATAAGATTGGAAACTGGGTTGAACATATTTGGGATGGGTGGCTTTGAACTCATCATTACCAATGTCACAAAGTGGCCACTCCCTGTCCACATTAACTGAGGTTTCATCAACAGAAGATTTTGTGAGGAGCCCAAGTCCCTAGTCGCTGGCCGCAAAGTACATCTTTTTAAAAGATGCACACACAATAAACTTCAGAATACTTTAAAGACAACTATAGTTAAAGCTCTTCACTTGTCAGTTTCTTCCCACAAGGAACTGGCGGTAACAATCAAATCAGAAAGCCCAACTCCTGGAGCCTCTGGGCCCTCTGCTGTGTCTGCAGACCTCTGAGAACCTCGGAAGGAATGTCCCCCCGGGTGCTCACAGTCGGGACACAGCACACACGATGATGTCACCTGTTAGGTCATCCATGGGCGGTACATTCAGGCACACTTTCGGTCCGTGCAGATGTAAGCCCATGCCATCAAAACAGATACAGGACATCTCCACACAAGTAGGCCCAACTCATCTTGCAAGACCCGTTGCAAGCAAATAGCATGTTACTATTCAAGGACACAGGGACCACAGTACAGTCCCCAGGAGCAAGGAGAGGGTGGCTCCTGCCATAGCAAGAGTGCTTTTCCTCTTACTCTGAAGTCAGGAAGGGGAGAGGAAAGTTCACGCAGAGTGCTGTATCCGTTAGTAGTGAATATATCTCAGAGGGTTTTTTTTTTTAAAAAAAAAAAAAACAAAATATAATTGCAACTAGACTGTGAAGCCAAAGTAGCTGCTACATGCACTCCAGAGTTAAAGAAAAACTGCAAAAACACATTGGAATGATCACAGGGGAAAAATCCTGTAGCTAAAAAAAAAGTTTAGCTTGATCACAGAAGAAAAAAAAGTTCAAAGCACGTCACGCCTCTCTCCCGGGCCTCCGTCACACGGCTGGCTGGCCCGTTACCTTCAAAATGATCTCAAACGCAAAAGTGCCCGTGAAGACATAGTCTGCATAACCTAGCACCTGGAAGGCAAGCAAAGAATGCGCCCGTTACCGCTGCGGCCGCATTAGCAGAGGAGGTCAAGGAGAAATGTGTTACCTTTAACAGGATCTCAACCGTAAAGATGGCTGTGAAAGCATAGTCAAAGTAACCCAGTATCTGCAAGGTACAACATGTGGCAATCAGAACAAGGCACCCCCAACAAGCGGTGGCAGATCCCTGCCCATGCGCAGAACTTGTGGCCAGAGACCCTTCTCCTCAGCAGGACAATCCTGCTTCCCCCTTGGGAGGGCCCACCTCCCCCATGCATGGCTCCTCTTTGTGACCACCAAGAAATGTTGGGGAGCCTTGCTTCCTTTACCTGCTCAGGCCGACTGGCTTCTCGTGCTCCTATCCTGGCCCACAGGGGCTGCTTTCTGAAAGTCCTGTGTTAATAACCTCCCCTCTGGGTGAACTACTAGTGCTGTAGCCCCTGATGAATGACAATCACACACATTTTGCAGTTTTGAACTTGGCTAAATGAAATACACTGCCGTCTGGCCGTGCTTCAGGTTGGTGAAGAAATATTAGTGGTGAGGCTGAGAATATAGCCTAGTAGTAGAGGCTCTTGCTAACTGAGCTTGAGGCCTGCGATCTATTCCAAGCACCATAAAGGTTAACATTTTAAATATTTAAAACATAGATAAATAGAAGCTAATGACATCAAATCAAATCAGAAAGTTTGGTATGTTCCTGTGGACCCAGGACAATTTAATTATCAAGTGATCTCCCCACCTGACCCTCATACGCCAGGACGGCTCCGTTTGTGAGGCATGGTCTGTACTTGGTGTCTTCCTCCTGCCACGTTCTATACCTCACTCTGCTGTCTCCCAAGACTGGTCCTTGCCTTTCTGGGCCCATGCAAAGAATAGACTGACCTAGAGCTTTAATTTTTAGTATAGGCTACTGTGCCAGCATTCCTGAATACCACCTATTATCTAGAAGAGTCTTGTGAGTTCCTGATGCAAAGTTCTTGATTTCTTTCAGAGCCATCAAGACTCAGAGGCAGGGGAAATGAAGTCTGATCATTCCAACAAGGTTACTCATAGTGTGTTGCTGACCTCATGTCTCTCAACCAGAAAGATGGCAGCCAAGACTGCCAGGACACAAGCCTGTCCTGGGTGCTGATCTCATGGAATGGTGTGCTGTTGCTTTATGGCATGTCTGTCTGTCTGTCTATCTGTCTCTATCTATCTATCTATCTATCTATCTATCTATCTATCTATCTATCTATCTATCTATCTATCCATCCATCCATCCATCCATCCATCCATCCATCCATCCACCCACCCACCCACCTTCCTACCTATCTATCTACTGTTTGTGATACATGCACATACCACAGTATATGTAGAGAGGTCAGAGGACAACTTTTAGCTATCAATCCTCTCCTTCCACCATGAGTCCCTGGGACTGAACTCAGGTGGTCAGGCATGGTGGACAGTGTCTTTACCTGCTAACCCATCTTGCCGGACCGCCTATGGTTTTGAGAACTGAAGATATCAGTGTTGGAAGGTGTGGAGAGACCATGGAGGCTTCCTCTTTTCATTCAAGAGTAACTCTTTTCATTATGTCTCCTCCCTTGGTTGTAGCCACCACTGGAGCACACACTGTCCCTCTTCTATAGAAGAGGGACCTGTGCCTCTCCTCCACGGAAGTGGGGGAGTCCACAGCAGTTCTCGCCAGAGGTCACCCTTTCCTAAAAACTTCCCACTTCTGGGCTCCTAGACACTGCTAGAGCAGTTCCGTGTAACGGTGGGCTATGAGGCTTTCACCCCCTTTCCCTTATTCCCTCCTCAGGCAGCCACGCTGACGTGGTGCCCGGGGGCCAATCCAAGTTCTTAGACTACTTTCTTCACACGGCTTCTACTTCCCTTTCACTAAAAACTCAGCTACCGTTCCAATGAAACACACACACACACACACACACACATACACACACACACACACACACACACACACACAAACACGTACATCTGCAAAGAGACGGGGAAACAGGACAACAAATGCATGGGAAAGAGGCTATGATAAGAAGAAACACAAATCTGCTCCTGGTAGACTCTTAGCCTGGACTGGCTCCTGACCTGTGATACCATGATTTGTCTCCAAACACATTTTCTGCCTCAAGCTTCATTTTCATGATGGAACTCAATGACAGAGAGGTGTTCATTCCACTGGAATGCCTAAAATGAAGACAGCCTTGAGGATCTCTAAATCAAAGCCTTGTCTGCAAGCTCGGTGTCTTCATCTCCATCTGAGCCACAGGGGAAAGTTGTGGTGATATTTTGTGTGTGCTCTAACAAATAAAGTTTGCCTGGATATCAGAGTGCTGAGCTAGCCATCAGAGACCAGGCAGTGGTGGCACACACCTTTAATCCCAGCACTTGGGATCTCATGCCTTTGATCCCAGTACTTGGGAGGCACACACTTTTAATCCCAGCACTTGGGAGGAGGAAACAGGAAGTGATATGGCTGGGCGGAGAGAGGAAGTGATAAGGTGGGGTGGAGACAGGAGCTTGGCCCCTTTCAGTCGGAGAATTCTGAGAGGTAAGAAGTCTCTCTAGTGGCTGGCTCTTTTTACTTCTCTGATCTTTCAGCATTTACCCCGATATCTGGCTCCAGGTTTCTATTATTAGACCAGTGAGAATTCGCACTACAGGAAGTCCCTGCCACTGTCTCCTAGCAGCACCTCTCATTGACAGCAGGTTTGCCAGGAACCAGGAATGGGGAGCTGCCATGTGAGGGTGTGGTTATCAAGACAAAGCTGGAGGCACTGATTGGCTGATGTGTCTTAATCCTAAAGTCTCTACTGATCTGATGTGCAGAAAGAGACGGGCACCTCTGACAGTCATGTGCCCCTGCTGCCTCTCCAGGGCAGTGCCTTGGTGGTCAGCTGACAGGCCCAAGGCTGTCTTTGAAGTTTCTTCAGGACTGAGTTAGATGAACTGCTAAGGAAGAGATCGTGAAGCAAAGACTGACTCAGAAACAACCAACTTCTAACACAGAGGCACCCGTGGCACCACCCATAAGCTATGACATTGGGTGAATAATTGAAAAAAATTTTTTTTCTTTTTAGTTTCTCGAGACAGGGTTTCTCTATGTATCCACCGTGGCTGTCCTGGAACTAGCCCTGTAGACCAGGCTGGCCTCAAACTCACGGAGATCCACCTGCCTCTGCCTCCTGAGAGCTGGGATTACAAGCGTACACCACCACCGCCTGGCATAATTGAAAATTTAACCAGCACCTGTCGCCGTTTCAACATGCCCTCACATCTTCTCCCTGACCTGTGTTTCTCATCAGTGGAGCAGCTGAGCAGCCTCATGTGAATGCTACATAAGAAGGAACTCTTTTTCACTAACCCAAGGGCAAAAGTCCTGGACCTATGGCATGCTGGGGCTCAAGTTCACCTTCTCCCCTTAGACCCAAACCTCTAAGGAGCCATCACTGTGCCTCTAATGGGGAAAGGGAAACCTCAATGTAAGAAGAAAGGACCAAAGAGATCCCTGAAGACACTGGGCAGTACTGCAGAGGCTTCTAAATATGCGCCTCCATCAGCTTGGTCCAGAGAAAGCAAATCCCTGGCACCACATACTAAGAAGCTCTAGCCCCAGGCTCCCATGCTTGGGCCCTATATCCAGGATGGCCCCGGACACAAACAGGTTGGGGCTGATCCCCAGGGTAGTCCCACCCACATCTCCTCTCTCCGAGGCTTACTTACCGTGTTCCGGAAGGAGTGGCTGCGGATGGGATCTTCGGCGGCCAGGGCGGCGCTGCTCAGCATGATGAAGACCAGGATAAGGTTGGTGAAGATGTGGTGGTTGATGAGCTTGTGGCAGCCCACACGGATCCTGTGGAGAAAAGCACTGCATGGACACAGGCCTGAGCCTGCCAGCCTCCTCCAGGCTGTGGGGCTTCTTGGGGGAGAGACCAGGAGGAGGCTGGCCAAAGGCTATGTTGCTCTTGTTTTCCAGCCAGGAAGAACAGTGTGGCCCATAGTTTGCCCCCACCAAAGCCCACAGCCAGCTTGTGGTGTGAGCAGTTTTGTGTCAGGAATTCCACAGAGACCATTTCATCCAATCCTTACACATGAGGTTACTGTCCTCCAAAAGATGAAAGATGGGACCGGGGACTGAGTGATGGCTCAGTGGTTAAGAACACTGGATGCTCTTCCAGAGGACCTGGGTTCAGTTCCCGGCACCCACACAAGGGCTCACAACCCTTTGTAACTCCAGTTCCAGAGAATCCAATGCTCTCTTCTGGCCTCTGTGGGTACTGCACACATGTAGTACATAGACATATATGCAAACAAAACAATCATACATATAAAAATAAATAATAAAAATATGAGAAAACTGAGGTTTATGGATATGAAAGAATGTGAAGGTAGCAAAGCTAGGAGATCAGGAGTAGAGTTCAAATCCAGGCATGTCTAGTGCTAATTTTTTTCTACCACAGCATAAAGCCTGACTCATGAAAGAAAACTGGGCCAAACTAAGTCCCTTGAGTAAACTACACAACAATCTACAACCCAACTTAGTTGCAAACTAACTGGAGGCCTAACACAGGAAGACACTCCTGTAACCAACGGCTGGGCCCCGGTGGTGCAGCGGCCAGATAAGCTGGCTCTCTCACTTCGGGGTTCTGGCCGTGCTGACGTCCCCACACTGCGGCACAGAGCTCCTGGGGTGCCTCTCACTTCGGGGTTCTGGCCGTGCTGACGTCCCCACACTGCGGCACAGAGCTCCTGGGGTGCCTCTCACTTTGGGGTTCTGGCCGTGCTGACGTCCCCACACTGCGCAGAGCTCCTGGGGTGCCTCTCACTTCGGGGTTCTGGCCGTGCTGACATTCCCACACTGCGGCACAGAGCTCCTGGAGTGCCCTCTGCTCTAGGGGCTGCTCCACCTGTCTTTGCTCCACTCAACGGTCAAATTTAACTTGCCCCAAGCTTTCATTCCAACACAAAGAACAGGACACATTCCCTTCTTGATCCACAAAGGAACCATTTTACAAATATGACCAGCAACAAGGGGGAGCTGGCGAAGTCCCGCTGTCTGGAAATTTTGTGATAAATGTCCTATTTTTAGAACACTTTATTACTTCTGTTTGCTCTCACTCTCTCTTTTCCCACCTCTCCCTCCTTTCCTCTCGTGTGTGTGTGTGGGGGGGGGGCACAGATGCCACACTGTGCATGTGGAGTTCAAAAGACAACTTTCTCTCCTTTCATATGGATATGAAAGGATTGAACTCAGGCAGTCAGGCTTGGTGGCAAGCACCTTTACCCACTCAGTCATCTCACTGGCCCATAAATGTCTTATTTTTAATCCAATAGTTGATCCACAAGTACTCCTTTGTGATGGGTTTCTCACTGAATCCTGCAACCCTGAGAAGTGAGGAGGGCAGCTGGGTCTCTCGACCCAGATCCAAGTCTTTCATGATGGCTCTCAGGGTCCATCAGAATCTCTCCTGTTCCCCTGAGGTGCCATGGGGCTGGGTCAAAACACCCTACTCTCAATATTCAGATTTAAAGAGTTTTTCCCCCCTCAGGAAAAGTAGCTTTTATTTTCAAAACTAAGAGCCACCTTTATATGATGATGACTCACTTCAAGTGTCCCCATCTTGGGCTACTCAGCACTGTGCACTTCCTGGAAGGCTTGCACAATGCAGTAGCTGGGCCTGGGGAAAACCTTCCAAGACAATGAGGGCAGGGATGCTCTTGACTTCTGGAAAAATGGACCAATTCCTCCCATAGACATACATAAGCTATGGACTATAGGCATCCCTAACAGTGTCGCAGTCTTTTCTATTGTTTCCCTTTTAAGGGATGCTCAGTGAGGAGCTGTCTAATGATCATCCAGGTGGACCGGATAACTCAGCAGGTCAAGACTTTGTATGCAAGCCTGACAACCTGAGTTCGATTCCGGAACTAACACAAAGGGGAGAGAAAACCACATCCATAAAGTTGTCCTCCAACCTCTCTATGCAGGGGGACACATGTGTCCTCCTGTCATTCACACACAACTCCAACAAATTAACTTGGTAAAAGATCATGAAACTGTCATGGTTCAAGGACTCCAGCCTGCCTTGCTTCCCACCTGAGTCTCTGCAGGGCCTGTGAATTACACAGTGCTCCTCTCCGACAGCCAAGAACTACTTCTGCAGTTCTTCTAGAAACCCTTCCAGGAGCTACCTATCCCCCTGGCAGCCCACTTAATCCCAGATGATTTAAACCTAGAAACCAGCTAGTAAATAGACTTCTTCCTCCCCGGTGTATGAGTCATTACCATGTTCCTGGTGAGCACCTTATCATTTTAATACGAGAGACGCTATTTTAAGCACAGTTTCACAGTGCTGAATCAAATGTTTAGAGCCTATAAAGCATCATGAGCAATACCATAAAACTCAACAGGGGGGAACAATCACCTAAATGGGACCCGAAAACGAAGATGCTGTGCAGAACCTGCTTACAAAATTCTCATCCCATAAAGCATCTTAAGACAAGATCCACTTGTTAAGAAAGGGTGCTAGAGGTGGTCAGTGTACACACCAGGAGAGCCGAGAGCCGTGGATTCCACCATAATGTCTTACTGAGCTAGACGCTGCCCTATCGTTGTTCCCAGGCGGGGGGTGGGGGAGGGTGGGTGTGGGGTGGGGGTGTGGGTGTGGGTGGGTGTTGTGGAGTGTGTGTGTGTGTGGGAGGGTTCTGGAGCAGGCTCCTCCCAGGACTCTGTCCCACCCACAAGGGAACAGGACACTTCCTCGGGGCTGAATGCACTGCAAAGGCCGGGAAGATGAGCAGGGCTGAAGGGAACTTGTGGAGTCCAGGAACACTTAGGGTCGGAAGCGGGCTGTGAACCCTGAGTTCTTACCCCACCCCCACTACCCTCGAGAGTCACTGTAGAGAGACAGCAGCAGAGAGATGAGGAAGGAAGTATTTACGGGTTGGTCTTGCTAAGAATGAAGAAAGCACTTCCTTCGGGGATGGGCGCAATTTTCTCCTTCATGTTCAACTCTGAGATTCTGCGAGGGCGGGGACCAGCAGGAACCTCAGGCTCCTCCTCCTCCTCCTCCTCTTCCTCTTCACCTACTTTAAACGGAACAGTTTTTATAGGTGTGAAGGATTACATATGGGTCTGAATTGTTGTTCTCAACTTCACTTTAAAATGTAGCTTAAACTTTAACAACATCCACTGCTTCCACCAACTAAAGCCTTCCTTTTCCTTTAGAATACGGGCTGCATGTGCATGGGGTGGGACACGCCCATCCATGTCTGCTGCACTTAGCTATGCAGTATGGGGGAGGAGGCGTCCTCCAGGGCACAGCATGGCCACAGACATAGTGAGAGCCTTGCTGTCACCCTCCCAACATCTGGCTGTTTCCCGCCGCCCCCTTGCTCGGTTTCAGTCAGAAAAACTGGATTTCCAGTCACAGCCACGCTTACCCTCAGGCTTCGACATCCCACAACTACTTCTCTAGCAAAAGCTGTGCCTATCAGTCCATCTTCCTCTTCCTCAACCTGGGATTTAAGTCCCTCTGTGCTGCCTGTGACTTTGGGGGAAAACAGAGCTAACTGCTCTCCAAGACAATGGGGCCCACGGCCCTGGTGGCCTCAGCGGCCCTGTGTGACAACCCCTCCCCCCATATCTCCAAACTTCTGGGCCTCTCTGCCCTACATACCTGGCACATCACAGGGCGGGTAAGGGTCCTTGTCTTCCGTCTCTTCCTGATAATCATCAATTGTAACCTAGGACAATAGAGAGGGAATGCTGACTTAATGTACTTCAGAGGGCCAAAGCCAGAGGGCCACCCTGCCACTCAGCAGTACGAGGGCTCTTATGCAAATGTGTGTGTGAGTGAGTGTGTGTGTGTGTGTGTGTGTGTGTGTGTGTGTGTGTGTGTGTGTGTGCGCCGAGATGATAGATGAGAGTCCGC